GGACATTTAGCTGGAACCTCATTAAAAAAAAAAAAAAAAGATGCTGAGGGTTGCCGAAACTCCAAGGAGTGCTAACACAAAGGGCGTGATACCGTCACAGCCTTGTTTTTCTCCCTCTGTAGTGCCAGGCAGTGAAAGAGACGTAGCAAAGACCAACATCGCAGCCATACTTATATTTTATTTCCCTCTCTCCATCTGGCGCCTTTTAAACAACTTAGCATGCTTCTCAAATGGGTTCTGCATTGTCTTACGATTCATTAGCATTTAAAACCTCCGGTTGGCATCCCAAACTCAATTCTGCCCCAGTCCCACATTCAGTGCCACCTTCCCAAGTATTTAAGCGGAGAGAGAGTTGCGATACGTGAAGGTTGTTTGGGTAGGAACCAGGAGTCACCGGGGATGTGTTTTGTGTTCCTGGAGGATTTTTATCGCTTCTTGCAGTTTTCTTCTCGGGGAGAGAGGCTTCCCAGGAACCAAAGTCCATAGAGTTCTCAAAATAAAGCCCTGCCCTCTGCAGCGGCCTGTCATTCCCGCCCCCACCCCACAACGAGGCGGCCTGTGATGTATACACACAGCGGCTCTCTAAGTCACTTTCCCTCCGGCTGCTAAGAAAACATTCCATTGTAATCGCACTAATGGCTGTTTTCCCTCCAATATTGTAATTTTCGGAGCCCCCCTAATAAGCCATCAATAGTTTTGTCCGTTTCCCCCCGGTTTGTGTTTCTCTTTGTGGTGGTTCCTAATTGTGGGCTATTATGACAACAGGGTTTTTGAACAATGGTGGCTCATGAAATCCTAGCTTCCCACTTGAACCAGCTGCCTCTACCACGCCAGTCGCACGTCGCATGGGGCTGTTCTGGGTAACGCGTGCATTTGTCCTGAATTTTGAAGTTTGAACGGTCTGCCTCTCATCTGCGCGAGCAACATGCCTTTACAAATACATAGCAGCCTGTGTGCTCCCCAATTTGAATACTGAATGAGAGTAAAATATAATTAATGTAAGTCTGAAACAGAGATATTACGCTATGTTGGCACAATGCATCCACATAAAGGGGAAAGAACAGGTGGTAATACACCATAATAACACTTCTGGATATTTTGCTTGAAATTCTCTGGATGCTCAAATGTGCATCCTAGGAGGGCATATTCGCTTCGCTGGCAATTGCTGCAAACTGTCAGGGAAGGACTGCCAGCAGCAGCAGAGCCGTGGTCCGTCGGTGCATACGCATATGCTCCCCATGGTAAGCGCCGTGCCTGGTTCTACCTATTGCGCCCTCCTTCTTCTTGTCCCTGGGATGGGCCTGCATTCTATGTGTGTCACAAACCACACTTTTTTTAACCACTGTGATGGTGGAATTGCTTTATAATACCCATTGAGTTATATAGGGTTAACTATTATTTAATTTCATCCCTTACTTATAAAACAAAGTCTCCAAAAAACCCTCAACTGTTTCCACTAAGAGAGAACCCAAAGTTACTTATTAGATTTGAAATAAAATTCAGAAGAGAAAGAGGAAAACGTTTTGTCATCGGATGTCAAAGCCTTAAATGATCATTGTGACCACATCTCTATTAGAAAGTCTTAGCTCCAAGTTTGAAAGGCAGAATGGGGCAATGGGAGTAATTTCCCTTTTAAACATGACAGTCAAAAATAGTGACTCTTATATTCATTGGGTCTGTAATTACCTTATAGCAGCCATTTTCAAAGGGTGGGCTGTAAGAATTTTAAAACATGCGATACCTATTTAGTCAGGGGCACTGACCACTTTCCTTTAGACTGTCAAATTTCAAAAGTGTCAACAACCAATATAACAATAGCCATCCAGTGTGAGTGAATCGAAATTATACCTTTTTTTTTTGTCAGATTGTGCCACAGAATTCTAGTGATTAGTTTATGTGCACCGTGAGATGAAAAAAAAGTTGAAAATAGCTTGATGAGATATGATGAGATAAAAAGACAGTGAAATGGCTCTGGCCTGTGTTGCTCAGTGGTTGAGCCGGCCTATGAGCCAGGAGGTACCAGTTCCATTCCCAATCAGGGCACATACCCGGATTGTGGGCTTGATTCGCAGTGTGGGGTGTGAAGGAGGCAGCTAGTCAATGATTCTCATCATTAATGTTTCTATTTCTCTCTCCCTCTCCCTTCCTCTCTGAAATCAATAAGAATTATATTAAATAAAGAAAGTGAAATGTTATCTTAATGTTCCCCTCTTGCTACAATAAAAATAAAAGGCCCCCTTGTAATAGAATTAGTGGTTAAACCCTACATATTTATATTTGCTGCCTTGAGGAATTACCTAACTCCCACAATAAGAATATGAATCCTTAAATGTTTAACCATTATGCTGTACACCTGAAACTAACATAATATCAAATGTCAACTGTAATTGAAAAATAAAAAAAGAACATTCTTCTTTTCCACCAGAAACGTGGCTGCAAGTATTGACTTTTTATATCGCTAATGTGAAGGACCAATCATGGGTTAGGAAAGGCTTTTATAGACCTCTGCCTTTTAAAACTACTGGTCTTAAAGCCACATGACCTCCTCTAGTAAGGCTGGGGGAGAGGGGGAAGAGAATAATTAGAAAAAGTTACCTGGGGTCAGAAAGATAGATAAGGAAGGGTCAGATGGCCAGTAGTATAGGCAATTGGTTTCTTGAAATACCACTTTGACAAAGTAGAAGCTAAGGGAGCACAGAGGAGGTTGGAAATACCACTGGGCCAGGGGTGGGGGAGAGGGGCTGAGTCAGGGGTCGGGGAGAGGGGCTGAGTCAGGGGCTATCAAAGTAGAGAGAGGCACGTCCTTGAGTGTGGCATCCTGGGAGGAGAAGGAAGGGATTCGGATCACAAAAGCCAGAGCAAAGGAGCGGCTTTGGGACCGCTGGTCTCTGTGCACTGTTTCTCATTTAGCGACATACTGCTGGGTGGAGGAATGAAGTCCCTGCACAGTTTTACCGTGAATGGCCAGCATCAGTTAGGAGCCACACCCCCGCTTTGGGACTGGGAGAGCACATTGATCTGAGTTAGGATAGAAACCAGTTCTAAAATTCTGAACCAAGTCTATTAGGTTTTCGACAGAATCACAAACACAAGGTCAACTGTTCTCTGATTAGGGAAATGGGTATTTTCTGTGCCCACAGAGAAGGCATGAGGAGTGTGTGTCCCATCCTGGTGGCGCGATGCTCCACATGAGAGGCCCAGGAAGCCATGCCCTGCTGCTGCCAATCTTGGACAGGGCATAAGGAAATGCAGAGAGAGCTTCTATAGTAAAAGACAGCTTTGGCTTAACGTAAAGAGAGGTTGGAGAGACTTGGGAAGGTAGGTTCTATGTTTCCTTAGCACCTGGTTTTGTCATTACAACTGTAATTGATTTCAGAGTTTGTTAGACAAGAAACGGTATGTTGAGTGATAGGTTCTAGTCATAGGAATTCTATGTACCAACCATATAATCTTAGACAAATCATTCAACAGAATAGGGACTCTGTCTCGCTCTCTGCTATATGCCCAGTGTCTAGGACAGTGCCTGGGGCACACAGTAAATACCCAACAAATATTTGTTGAAAGAATAAGTGAATGAATTTAACTATCTAGCCCCATTTCATAATCTGCAAAATTTGGGTTAAAGTATCTACAAGTATTGGGCACAACAAATGGCATAAATCATGTGATAACATACTTGTAAGTATAAAACACTATATACAGCACAAATGTTGATATCTGTTTACCATATACAGGCACTTCTGGATGTACATAGGTTTGAGATTTTCTGTTTTTTACATACTTTCTTGGACCTGATGAAGAAAGGTAAATGCCTTTATCAGGAATCAAATATGGCCCTGGTTGGTTTGGCTCAGCCTGTGGACTCAAGGGTCCCAGGTTTGATTCCAGTCAAGGGCATATACTTTGGTTGCAGGCACACACCCAGTAGGGTGTGTGCAGGAGGCAGCTGATCAATGTTTCTCTCTCTCTAATCGATGTTTCTAACTCTCTATCCCTCTCCCTTCCTCTCTTTAAAAAAAATAAATAAAAATCAATATATATATATATACACACACGCACACACACACACACACACATATATATATAATACATATATATATATATATACATATATATGTATATATAAAATAGGGAACAAATACATCATTAATGCAATTCACTATTCTGAAACATCTAAAGCTGCATTCACAGAATTGTTTCAAAAACTATATTTTGATGACAATGCTTATCTAACTTTTTCTTTGTGACAATTAAATTCTAGATGTTAACAATGGTAATCTAGTCTCTGGTTTAGAATTGTGCGATCAATGCTGCTTGAGGTGGGCTAGATCTATGTACTGGACACTTGCTCTCTCTCCTTGGTTCCCATCCTCCTTAAATCCTTCTGGGCTGAGAGCAAAGTTGTCTCTTGTGGCCTCCCTAAGTATGGCCCTCAGTCACATCACAGCAATCTGCGAGAGAAGAAAATAGGCAGGCATCTGGGCCCATTTAACGCAGCATAGAAATATGGTGTATGTGGGATTTAATAACATTCCCTGGTAGTCTTTAGAGAATCGCAAGGGGTAGAAACCCTTAAATTTGGGGTTCACTTAGCAAAGAGCAAAGAGGGTTTTGATGACCAAAGGGTAAATAGTTAAGTGCTGAAGAGAGGTGTGGACAGTTTGGAAAATACTTTTAGTACTTTTTTAGTCTTTATGATCACATTGGCAGTATGAAGGAGTGAGGTAATTCTGGCTAGGATATATAAAAGTCTTTCCAAAAGCAACTGCACTGTGTAAACTTTGAAACAAAGACTAACATGCTATTTATAGAGGGGCCATAAAGGAGCGTAAAATTCTGTGAAAGAAAAAGACTCCTGGAATCTGGTTCTGATGGGGCCCGCTCTGCTCAGCCTTAGTTCTAGTAGCCAAAGAATTCACCAGCGCCCTCAGAAGCCATTTCTTTGGGGGTGCATACACTTTCTCAAGTCGTGGTGATTCCCACTCCAGCTTGCATCTCACCTGTTTTTGCTCTTCTCCTAAACCATCCCACATTGAAGCCACAATTTTAGAGACTTCACCGAAGGTCGCATTTGGATTTTGGCCCTTGATGGCGGCCTGGGTGTCACGAAAGAACAATGCATAGGCAGACACCGGCTTCTGGGGCTCATTCGGGTCCTTCTTCTTCTTCTTTTTGGGGGTTTTTGGCTTTTTCCCCATATCAGAGGCAGGCCGCTTCTCTCCGCCATTGATCTAAAATAAAAATAAAATGGAAATTATAGAGACACTGAGAAAATTTAGAGACAAGTCATACTGTTGTTCTGCTTTGAGCCTTACACATAGTCATCTTTACACATCACACATGACACAGACATGCCAAAGGGACACTTCGTTTGGTTGTTGTTGCTGTGTTTCAGATAAAACTTCATATTTCCTGTAGTTTTCATGTTCATCCCTCTGCTGCCTAATTTACATAGCTTTAATATAATGTTATTAATTCTTTTTATACTGTTTAAAAAAATATATTTTATTGACTTTTTACAGAGAGGAAGGGAGAGGCATAGAGAGCTAGAAACATCGATGAGAGAGAAACATCGACCAGCTGCCTCCTGCACACCCCCCACTGGGGATGTGCCCACAACCAAGGTACATGCCCTTGACCAGAATCGAACTTGGGACCTTTCAGTCTGCAGACTGACGCTCTATCCACTGAGCCAAACCGGTTTTGGCTCTTTTTATACTGTTAAATATTACCCCTTAACTCTCTCTTTTTAAAAAAATATATTTTATTGATTTTTCACAGAGAGGAAGGGAGAGAGAAAGACTGCTAGAAACGTCAATGAGAGAGAAACATTGACCAGCTGCCTCCTGCACACCCCCCACCGGGGATGTGCCCACAACCAACGCACATGCCCCTGACTGGAATCTAACCTGGGACCTTTCAGTCCAAGGACCAATGCTCTACCACTGAGCCAAACCAGTTTCAGCACCCCTTAACTCTCTTAAGTTTTTCCCTTTCTTATTCAGGAAGCTTAACGCTAAGTTGCATTGTAACTACCACAGGTGCAAATTTCTTTTGTAGAACCCTTACTGTCTAAACAGTCTAACTTGTTTTCTTCTGAGTTTACCCTTTTCTTCCTAATTATGACTTTTAAACTATGGTGGGCAAGATGTCCAGTGATTAAAATTGAATGGCTTTTGATGTCGCACTTGGGTCTATAGAGTGGATGCTCATGGTTTAGAATGGCATAATCTGGACTGTAGGTCAGTGATGTCCAGAGGAACTTTATGCAAAGAAGGTAAACTTCTATAATCCGCACAATTCATTGTGGTAGCCACCAGCCACATGTAACAAATGAGAATGTGAAGTGGAAGCTAACATGAACAAGACAAAATTTTGTATTTTATTTCATTTTATTTACTTTAAATTTAAATAGCTACATGTGGCTAGTGGCTACCAAGTTGGCCAATACATCTAGAATCAAATATTTCTAGAATAGCTTTATACTCACTTTAAAAATAGGTTCTATTTTTCTCCCATTGTATGAATATTCAGATAATTTAAATTGTTATTCTGATGCAAGTGGAAAAAACACACAATGCATTTAAGACATAGGCATTTGAATATTAATTTTGATCTGAACTAATGATACGTAATGCCACTTTATCCATCTCTGAGAAGGAGCAATTTTGGCTAGGATTTCTTTCTAGCTCTAAAATGATATGAATCTACACGATTATCAAGTAGATTCTGCAGGAATCCTCTTTCTAAGTGCCTCTCCCACCCACATAAAGGTCCATGAACACTACTTCCTGATGGAGCTGCCACTATCATGGGAGATTCTACACCCTCACCTCCCATTGTTACTGCTGTTGCTTTTTCTTCTCTGTAAACGTAATATAATATATAGTTTACTCAGATAAATTGCTGGCGGGGTAATTTGTGTCCAATAACTGCCATCGCTGAAGAGGAACCAGGACATTCTGAGAGGCTGGTGGGTACTATGTCAGAGAATTTGCACTCATGCCCTTATTTGTTATTTTTAGATGTGCAATCTTGGGCAAATTACATAAATTCCATGGGCCTCTATTTCTTCTGCAAAAACAGTTGCAGCATCATTTTGTGAGATGGTATATATGATACTATATGATCTTTTTAAAATGACATTCAAATGTTAATTGTGAGATACTAGAAACTTCAAAAACATTCACTGAATGAATGGACAGGAATGACCTTAATACTAATTTGTGATGCCATATGGCCACAGTTAAAAAGATATGTCTAAGAACCAAAAACAAAGTAGGATAAAAACTACGTGAATTCATTTTCTTTGTCTTTAGTGAGAGAGATATTTAAAAGATGACCATTTTTTAAATTGTTTACTGAAGCAGATCAACATCCCCATGGATACAGGATGCTCTGAACTGAGCTGACAAGCTAATGTAGACCACCACTAGAAGATAACATCCCTAGGATGGAGCTAAGAGGTGAGCCTGTGAAATGGTCGGTTCCATGTAAATCTGTCAGAAGACTGGCATGTTGAGACTGAGTTGATACTGGGAAAACTAGTGTAATAGCTATAAACTAAACATACAGGCAATTATGACCTGTAACAGTGATCTCAAATACAGCTTCACACTGGAATCATCTGGGAAACTTTTTAAGTAATATCCTGATACCCAGGCTCTCTTTGCATTGATTAAATCAGAATGCCTAGGAGTAAGAGACACCTCAATGATACCCTTAAATCTACTTCTCCAACTGGCATTTAAGTACTTAGGAGACAAACCAAACAAGAGAACTTTCCCTTTGCCTCAAGGCTTCATATAGGCCTATCCTTCTTGTCTTCACAACCAGCTCCTCCAGGTGGCTGTCTGTCCTGGCCTAATGCAGCCTGTGCGACTCACTTAATGTGCCTTACCATGCCTAAGCTCTCAACAAGGTCACCATGGGCCACATTGCTAAATCCAATGGACTTTTTGACTTGATTTCTCACTGTGACCACTTTCTCTTCCAAGGGTTTCATTTCCCTACATAGAACATATCAAACTTGTAATTATACAACAACCTATGTATTATATTTAGATCTTCTCCAGTTCCACATATAAGCACTGGGAAGGCAGGCCCTCAACTGGTTTTGCTAACTAGAACTTATGTTTCCTGACAATAAGTGTTTTGCATGTGTTATAACTATAATTAAAATAATAACAAAATAATAATACAATTCAAAGAATAAGTGAGTCAAAGCATAAATGGTTTCTGTTATAGAAACTTAAACCTCACTAATTTATTTGAGTACTTGATGACAATATGTGGGAAGACAGAAAACATGGAGAGATTTTTAAAAAGTATTTGACATGTTAATAGTAATTTCTCTGAATTATAAGGCTGAGTATTTATAAATTTCTTTTATTATATTTTTTATAATTTCCAAATTTTGTAGACAATGGAGGAGAAAAACTATTAAATATTTTATTATTGAGAATATAAGAATCTATATTGAGAATATAGGATCTATATTGAGACTATAGGATCTATATTTAATAAAATATTTATTAAAAAGAAAAAGAAAAAGAAGTCAAGAAAGTCTACAATAAAGTAAATTAAAAATGGAGTGATTATGATATTGGAGATCATATTTCAAAAAGGAATGAAAATATTTATAAATAGGAAACAAAGTGTAGAGAAATGAATGTTTATCTATATGGAATATTACCTGGACTCATTAAAAAAATTTTAAATTTATATTTATTGTTGAAAATATTATAGATGTCCCCTTTTTCATACCTATTAACTTCTACCTCTCCTCCTTCCCCCCTCCAGGCCTTCATCATTTTAAATTTTAACTAAAAAATTAATGATTGGACACATTGAAATCTCCATAATTGCAGATAATAGTATATTAATGAGTTTTGAAAAATAATCAAAAGTCAATCATAAAGATAAATATCCTGTGATTCAATACAGTTGTTCTTATTAAGACATTTCCCTGAATTATTTAATAATTTTTCACCTCCACTGTCTAAAATTGTGTTTGAACTTCATGTCTCTTTCCTTTTGAAACTGGTATTAGGGAAGTATGATATAAGTTTTAGTTCTACTGGCTGTAATGCCTCTCTGTTACAGAAAGGACATATTTGAAAACATGGGCCTACTTTCTAGAGGCGATCTGAGGAAGCAGGAGAAACTGTTACTGCCAGTAAGAAGCTCTAAGTATCAAGTGTATGAAAACAACAAATTACCCTTTGTGTAGCAATGTGTAGCAACTCTGTAGGAAACTCTAAACAATTCCATGCAATCAATTGATTTGGTTCATTGTCTGGAGCCTTTCCCTATGTTTCTGGCTTGTGTAGGGTTAGTCAGATCAGCCTTGCTCAACCTGAGAGTTTCATTTACTAGAAGCAAGCATTTCATGACTCAGCCTCCACATTTTCAAGGCTCAGGAGATGCCATGTTTGTGTTATGAAGCATCACCCTGGAGCTTCAACGATATCTCTGATTGAATACTGGAGAGGCACCAAGCTCTGAAGCTGGGGTGTCATCCCCATTGCGGCCAGACTGCCAGCCAGTCACAACATTACATCACTTTGTTCTCTGCCATGCCTGAAAGCAAGAGCCTATACATATACCTTTCTTTTAAATACTCGTGTGAAACTCAGTTTGAATTATCTGCCATCGAAGAAAACTGACATCTAAGAGGACCAACATAAAGAACACACATAAAATATTCATTTCTCAAGATTCACTGCCTTTCTTTCCTAATTAAACTAGATCACTAAAACTATATTCTTACATTGTAACGTTCTGACCATTTACAGAATTTCCCTCATAGGAATGAACTATGATCTATTGTAAGATAATACCTTGGCTTTCATCAAAGGCTGATGTAAGAAGAAAACAAACAAACAAAAAAACAGAAACACAGAACTATGTATAAAATATTTCTATAAAAAAATAAAATGTCTTTGAAAGGACTCATTTATTTTATTGCTCAATGTTCTTTGTATTAAGACTTACTGGGTTTGCTACTAGCTTTGCTTTCACTTTAGGATGCACTATAAGGGAATGAGAACTCCCTGGTTGGTGTCTAACATATTCAAATGTGCAGGCAGTGCTATGAACAGTAAGGCTGTCTACCTCTTGACCACTGGGCATTACCTTCTGACATGCGGGGATCTTGTTTTTATTTTCTTTTGTTTGGGAGGATACAGGAGTGGTATTTTAGGTCCTGTATAATGAACTGGGAATGTGT